CCTGTATTGGCTGACAGTCTGGGGACCACACAAGACCAGCAGCCTGCCGAGCCAGTGTAGGCTGTACCAGCCCAGAGCCTGCCACCAGTGAAGCTGAAGGCACTATCAAAGACCCTGGGCCTTGATTGAGAACAAAAACAGATGCCAAGGACTGAGAGGGGGTAGGACTCGCCCAAATACTAGTACCTGCATGGCATACTTCTATGCGTACGTGTAACAGAAGAGCCCTAACAACTAACATACAACACAGTAAGCCTGAGTCTTACCCGATACTGGACTATAGGCAACAAACTTAGCAAGCATGCACACACTATATAACCCAACATGCATGATACTCACGGTTCTGCCAGAATACACCAAAGGGGAGGCACAGCCACAGCAGAAAAAGAATTTGGCAGTGAAAGTGGGACCAGGCATTGGTGCAGCAGTAGCTGCTAGCTGCAGGCAGCAATGATGGAGCAGGAATTGGAACAGAAGTATTAGCTGCAGCTGCCAATGTTGTTACAGATGTGGTCAGAGGAGGTAGGAAGCCTGTGGTTAAAAGTTGCTGCTGCATGGTTAAACGAGAAGGTGCGGTATAAAAGGCGGGGCCCTGGGCATGGTGGCTTCCGTTTTATTCACGTGTAAAAATGTCGGCTCTAGATGGTGTTGCTTCTTCAAGGAAAAACGCAGGAAGAAAGGGGTTTTGGTACCAAATGGACTTCCATTTTACTCTCAAAGAAGACAAGGACCAGTTCTAGCTAGGCTTGATCGAGTTAAGGGGTCTTTAGGCACTTAAAGAAGGCGCTGGAACTGCTGTCTCATTTACTCGCCGATTTACCGTATAGCGGAAAATTTTCGTGGCCCAAAATTGGATTTCGCGTTTTTTTCAAAACCCACGAAAATAAAATCCGCGAAAATTGATTTTATACGGTTTAAGATGGCCGAATTGTAGAAAACCACGAAAATTAAAGCCACGAAATTGATTTTTGGACGGATCCACGAAAATTTTGGGCCACGAAAATTTTCCGCTATACGGTAGTTTAAAAAGAGAATCATTCTGAGGCTCTATCACATGATACTAGTAGTTCTTCTGCTATGCTCAATACTTCAGGTAGTTATAATGTGTTTAAATTAGTGATTATATAAAAATAAGGTATGGGTGATGGGGACGAAGAGCAGCCATTTTGTGCATAGATATAGGATCGGCTGTCGGGAAACATACATTAGTGTTAGTGTGGTATGGTTGACCGAAGGATGATCAGTTACAGACAGGTATTCTTTGTTAGTATTATC